TAAAACATACATTTACAACTTCACAACAATAGTTGTGAATATCACACAATAGGAAATATCCTATGGGGGTAGACAGAGACTTATGAGACTAGGGAACGATAATTGCTAAGATTCTTATATATATACTTCTTTCGAATACCTAACCTAACCTTTCGAATAGCCTAGCATAACCGAGACGCCTTGCTCAACAGTCGCATTTTTAACACACCCAAACAATGAGCACTCCAAGTATTTATAGAGTCAAGTTCAAAATCAAAATGTATTAACATTATGCATAATAAAACTTTATCATAAATAAAATATATGATAGAAAATTATACCTGTAGTAAAGTTGTCCTTTATACTGATAAGCGAGTAGATTCTGCTCCTTCCAATGTCTAGCACAGTTCACGTACCTCATCCAGTTCGAGGAGTTACTGTCTGCAGCGTCTATTACATGGGCCCGTCTATTGTAGTCTGTGTAGATCTGGGATTTTGGAAAAATGGATTATTATTTAACTTGTTAAAATATCATCCCCTACATTTGTTTATACAAAAGTAGTCCCTTAACATTGGAAATAAGGGCTATAATATAGTTAGTCTATAATGTAGTTAGTGGAGAGCGGTCACCGGTTACCGCTTGGGGATAAAAGTTCGTTTGTTTCAATGTACTGATCTCAGGAATTACTTGTCCGATTTGAGAAAATCGTTTTGTGTTGGATAGTCAATTAATCGAGGAAGGCTTGTAAAACATCACGGTACAATAGGAGTCAGAAAGAGTGAGTTAAATCGCGCAAAACTAGCGCCAAATAAAAACAGACCTCTAAGATGGCTGGCCTATTTCACAAGACAGTTAATAATAAGTAGTCATCAAAATTAAATACAGTTAGATAGTCATCAAAATCAATTACAATAAATTATGAATAAACAAGCTACTCTCGCGCTGTTTCACCCGGTTTTAGACCCCGAATGGGCGTACCATGATGTTTTCCTGACCTTCATGACGACCATGGGATTGCGTGTTGTTTCGTCGTATGAGAAAGGTGACCAGAGAACCAATTACCCCCTCTCCCCAGTCTCCCGAATCCCCGAATTCCCATGTTTTGGGTGTTCATGGGAGCTGCCGATTTCTTACCATTAGGTAATCCATCTGCTCGTTTACAGGGCTTATCCCATAAAAAAAACATGATGTTCCATAACCTAAAGCCTTAGTCGATAAATGGACTATTTAACACGGAATACTTTTTTCAATTAGAACCAGCAGTGTCCACACGCTGGTTCAAAGAAATGACCTCTTAAATTCAGCTTTATAGTATTTAGATTACTTACCTGCCAACAATACATAGAGTCCACATTATGCGTGCGTAGTCCACGATATGGTCCGAAGCGTACGCCACGGGGTAACGTTAAAGTGCTAAACACACCTAACCCAGCACCTAGAGGAGATAAGCAAAAAAAATACTTAGGATTTATGCCCACTTTTCAACAAAATAGAAATTCATACCATAATAAACGTCACGCCTTTACGTCACGATGGTATAAAAACTAATATTTTTTAAGCGAAGTGTCACGTTTGGATATTATCGTGTTTCATATTCATATTATAGGTGCATTGACTACACATATTTTCATATGAACATCAACTGGAACCACAATTAATGGATTATACGAAGAAATCGAACCCGCGATAGGTTTTTATTTTTCTTTTAAATTAGGACAAGCCCGCCACAACCTCCCAAAACCGCTGTAACTGCTGTAAGCCAGGATCTACAGTAGATACAACCATGACAACACCGGAACACTGAAGTCCGGCGCGTCCCAGGGACATGAATAACTGTCTTGGTTCCCGCAACGAAATAAATTAGAAGGTATTATAAGAGAAGAAGAAAAAAATTATAGTTTCCACTTCCCTCTGTAAATTACTGCAGAAGACAGAATGAATTAAGCCTGGCAATAAGGCACAAAAAGAGACTGCGCAAATGGGAGAAGCCCAGTCACCACCGCGGAAATTTGACTTAAAACTATCGTAAACGATAGTTACCGCGATAGGTTGTGCAGTGGCTAGTCGAGTTATAACTTCCATACATCTCATTCTCATGAGCAACAGTTATCTTAGAAATTAGTTACATAAATGTTACCTGGAATTATCGATGGCGCTAAGTGCAGGAACACATTGGGTATAGTCAGTGCAGCCCGAGGCACATAAGATGGTAAACCAGTCTTTGCTGGCACCTGTGTTTAGAAAGAAGGGCAAAATATTTTAAAACTGACAGATGTTTTAACTACAACAAAATCTATTATAAAGTCGATGTTTGCTCATCACATGGTACTTATAACATTGGTGAAGTAAATGCTGCGTTATACAGCTGTCTACCTCGTTCCGGGATTAAAATTCTTGACGATATGCTAATGTTTAGTTATTGGCGAAGCAGAAGACCATCGTGTTTATTTGTTTTTGTTTACCTACTTGTCAAATAAATGCTTTTTTTCTTATTTAGAGCAGCAAATTGTTTTGAAAAACCCGTTGGAATTCTTTTTAAGTTTTTAAATGACTGGATTTTGTTAATAGATAACTCTACCTTATCATCTGGCACGACCAATAGTGGTCCATGTATTGCGCAGTAATCGTAAACGAAGTCTGCGCATTCTTCACAATCTGCGTGATAGAACCGTAATTAATAGTTTGATTTTACAATTTTTGCCCGCTTTTTTTGTTTCGGCGGGAAAATGTCAAGTTTTTGAGATTCTTATTGTTCTAGATACTCACATAAATACTCGTCGAATTTTGGTTCGTCGGGCTCGTAATAACTCAGTGGAGTCCTTTTACGCAAATTAAAAGGCATATTTTAGTTATTTGATTGTATACAAGTTTTAAAATTTGAATTTTTCTCAAGAAGAAAATTCAAAGACAAGTCAACTATATTTTTAATTTTTTGGCGTAACCTTGGCATCTAGGTTAATATTTTTCTTTTCATCAAGCTTTACGCTAAGTCAAACATAAATAATATTGTATTTTCAAACTATAGCTTGTAGAAAGGATAAAACAGGCATTTTTGTCTACAACTGTTAGGCACTATAAGCAATAGGCATTCCATAAGATAATTTTCTTGGCGTAATTGAAAAAAAAGGATGGTGTTTTTTATCTGTGGCATATTGTTCGATGGCCGCAAATTCAAGTCTAGTCTATTAGAGTATTAATAATAGAGGCCCAATTTTCACACATACCTACACAAAAAACCATGCTTTCATTTTATATCTTATAAGTAGGTACTGAGAATTTAGATAATTAATACGTTTAGGTAAAATTAAAACAAAATATCAACTTTAAAATGAACAAACTGTAATAAATTATCACAAAATTCCATGAAATTGATTCAGCGCGGGAATATATTGTTTGCGTGACGCGCTGAGGTTAAGCTGCCAATAGTAGGAGCAATCCATTGCGTTGTCCAACTGCTCCGAAGACAGGCCCAGCGAGGGAGACTTGAAGTCTTCTAGAAATTTGCTTAACTGAAACAAAATATTGGGAAAATTATTAAAGAGCTTCAATGATTACTTTAGAGATGTAGTTATTAGGGATTCTACATAAGGTTCGCACAAAATAAATTTATTTTATAGTATAGTACCTACCTAAACCTCTAAGTGCTGTATCATTAATCGAGTGGTTAGCCATTAAAAGGACTTTGGTTAAATTTCAATATTCAATTATTTAGTATTTACGTTAGTCAAATACCCGAATCCACACTATTCATAGATAAGAACCTGTCCTGCAGTCTCGACATTTGCTATCTTTATGACATAATATAGTAATCGATAATTTTCTATCGCTTATACCACGGGGAGTGCTCTGAGGAATTGTTTGACCTGATACCTGCCGCATCTTTTCTGCCTCGCACAGCAAAACTGTGGAATGATCTGTCGTCGGCGGTATTTCCGAACCGATACGACCTTCAAACCTTCAAGAAAAGAGCGTACTCCTTTTTAAAAGGCCGACAACGCACCTGTGACTCCTCTGGTGTTGCGGGTGTCTATGGGCGGCGCTGATCGCTTACCATCAGGTGATCCGTGTGCTCGTTTGTCTCTAATCCTAAAAAAAAATTATCGTTACCAATATCGAGACTCCTGGAGTATTGCAATGAGGGATTTATTACACGTGTCTATACCCTATAATGATAACTGGCGAAAAGTTTTATAAGACTCAATGCCAAACGAAGGTGATTGAACGCTTTGACATTGTGTTTGACTTACTCCCCTTCTGAAAACTGTAACTTCCGTGAAAAAACAAAAAGAATTTGGACTTTATAATTTATTTGACTGCACGAATGGCGTGGTGGTTGGCAACTGGTTGCCGTGCAAAGTGTCGCGGGTTCGATACCCGCACAGAACAACTCTTTGTGTGATCATAGATTGTTGTTCCGAGTCTGGGTGTCATGTGTATGTGAACTTGTATGTTTGTAAACGCACACACGATACAGGAGGAAATCCTAGTGTAGGACAACTTTGTAAAAAGAAAAAAGGAGAAGATTTCTATAAATTATTATATAGATTTTTATAAATATGATTAATTATATTTTTTATGTTTATTTTGCTTATTGATATTAAAACCTGTCATAGTTTGTAAGGTTTTCTTATTCTTATTGTTTGTTTTATTTAAACTGTCAAACACCAAGCGGTCACCGGTGACCGCAACCTATTGTTCTTTAATTGTGTCTATATTGACGCTGCTCGACGAGTTAAGGACTGTTCTGTTTTGTATTTTTTTTTCTCTTTTATAATTATTTGAGATGTATAACGCATTGGTTTTATGACTGTAATGTTATACAATTTAATTGAAATAAATAAATAAATAAATAAATCTTCTTACCAATACAGCTTTATGTGGTTTACTCGTAGAAAACACAGCAGTGTCTCTTTTCAGGCCTTCACTTAAATCCATACCCAGGAGTAGAGCTACGTCACAGTTAGTTAGAGTTAGGGCTTCGGACACCGCCTTTAAAGCTTCAGGACGACTTAGAAACTCCTGTTGAACAAAGTAAAAGCATTTATTTTAATAATTACACGCACTGTTGAAACGTCATAATAATAGGGTAGTACATAACATACATTTATTTTACATATACATTTTCACTATTTATGTTACGAGTCCCTTGTAATAGGGGGTGAGCTTATTGCCATATACCGGGCACAATTCCAGACTGCGTGCTAATACTGAGGATATTTATAAAACCCAGTAATACTTTGCCCAACCCAGGAATCGAACCCGAGACCCCTTGCCCGGCAGTCGCACTTACGACCACTCGGCCAACGAGGCAGTCTTATAAAATAGTATAATAGGGTAGTTTCCCCTAATTTTTATTTTAATGTCCGTCTGGTAGATTATTTTAAAACATTACACACGTATTTTTTTCTCACAAAATTAAGTACTTTCGACAATATATTAATTTGAAATATCGCGTGACGTCACTATGCCCTCCATTTTGTAGCACTTTATGACGTAACGACCTCCCACTCCTAAACGTAACGCCATTTTATCTTAGTATTGTAACTTTATACGAGAAAATAATAAAATACGTGTCTAATATTTTTTCATTATCTAACTGACGGACTAATTAGATTTTTAATTTTCATACCTGGCAACTACCCTATTATTTTAGCAATGAAAAATCGAAAGGATAAAATCAATGTTGAATTAATTTTTTTTAAGTATTATAATCACACGATACAACTCGTCATCTCACACAACATTTATAGAAACTAACTTAATTTGCTCTTGAAGTTAATATTTTATCAAATACTAGCGACCCGCTGCCCCTTCGCACGAGTGCAATATATATGCATGTATTATACATAATATATTATACCTTCCTTAACTCGTCGAGTCCCGTCATTATAGACACAATTATAGAACAATAGGTTGCGGTCACCGGTGACCGCTTGGTGTTTGACAGTTTAAGAATCACTCTATCTATTAAAAAAACCGCATCAAAATCCGTTGCGTAGTT